GAATGGTCGTTCCATTTCTTATCGTGAGAATTCTATCCAAAATATAAAACTAAAATTCCACCATAATTCTCTTTCATGGAAAAATATTTGACAAAAACATGCACTGTTTCGGCCGAATGGAAATAAAATCATGCTTCGGCCGGACGATGAGAAAAAATCTAGCTACACGAGTACTTAAATGAGACAGATTTTGCATGCATATTTCTTCCAGTAATAGTAACATATTTAGATAAATTCAAGAATTGAGGATCACAAAGCTGACTACGAAATTTGTGAGATTTTTTATGCATACTTTCGTTCGTATACCGAGTGGTCAATTTGCATCGCATAACGTGTTTCATCCATTGATACACACGATCCAAAAGCGTCCAAAATAATTTTGGACGGACAAAATGTCCAAAATCGTGGAAATTCTACAGTAGAATGAGGCAAAATACTACAAGGTCTTCTTTATTAATTCTTAAGGTCGTCGACGTCCCATCAACTGACCACGTGTTGTCCATGCTTTATGTTTTTATATTTTTCTGGTTTCACCCTTTACGAAAAGTTAATTATTCTCGTACAACTAATAAAAATGGTATTTTGTTCTGGTCACAGGGATTTTTACGTAGTAAAGTCAGAAAACCATGCATTGTTTTTGCCGAATGGAACTCATAAACTCATGCTTCAAGAGGAGGATGAGAAAAAATCTAGTCAAATAAGTAAATGATTTACTTATTTGACTAGATTTTTTCATTTACTGTAAATGAGACGGGTTTTGCATGCATATTTCTTCCAGTAATAGTAACGTAAATCCATATGAAATCAAGAATTGAGCATAAACAAGCTGACCACAAATATACCAAATTTGCGACATTTATGCATACTACGTACACCGAGTGGTCAATGTACTTAGCATAACCAGTGTTTCGTTTTAACCGTGGAAAACTACTTTTGGACTGGACAACGTCGATGAGCGTGCAAAACTGGGCAAAATAATTTTCGACGGCCAAAATAGTCGAACATTAGAGAATTGGGCAAAATGCTGTAAGTTCTTCCTTATAAGGAAGTCCTTAATATATTAACGATATCGATCAAATTGATGAAATTGGCACAAAATTCTAATGCCAATCTTAAGGTGAAAAGATCACAAGAGGATAAACCCAGAGGAAATTCGTAACCAAATTGGAGAGATTTGCATTAAACTGCTGTTCATGATATTTAAGTGTTTAATTACCGTGTTCATGATAAAATTAATGTGCATATTTAGAAATATTTGTCATCACTCATGAACAAAGTAGTTATACTTTGGTCCTCTAATTCCAAGAAGTTAACGTTGTTTTGAGAAGAGTGAACTTTAAGATGGAGGTCTCCCAGCGGATGCGATCCGATTTTGAGCAAAGTTTTGCAAATCTATGGCAAATTTAATTAGTGTGAAATTTGCAAAAGACACGATCACCCAATGGGGTTTACGTTTGGCGCAGATATTTGCATCGGAAGAGGAAAAAACGCGCAGTAAATTTGGAATGTGTATAATTTGTCAGCTTTAAGTCGCGTTTTCTCCTCTTCGGATGTAAATATCTCAGCCAAACGTCTATAAACGCCATTGGGAGATCGTGCGTCTTTTGCAAATTTCATATAAATTTGTCATCGATTCACACTAATTTGACCCTCAAAATCGGATCGCATACGCTGGTCCACCTCCATTCTTAAAGTATGATATAACGTGTCAACTAAGCATTTTGTTCAATTAAAAAGAATGTTGTTTTATTGAAGTTTACAAACGTCATGAGAGGATTTGGTTGGATTTCATGGTATTAATTTTACTCTGTATGATGATTAAAAGTGCAATTAGACAGAAATATGAGCCCTTACATAAAAGCTTTCCAAAACAAGATTCTTACTTTGCATGAACTATTTTATGTTATCGCATTTTCTCACATTTTTAGAGTCTGGTCTCCATGGGACTTCATGATAACGGATGTAACGCTATGTTCCCAAATCCTTCCTGTCTCAGGAGCTGTCCATAAATTATGTAATGCAAAAATCGCGATTTTCTAGACCCCGCCTCACCCATACCTGTTCACTTTCATTCATTTGAGTGATTATGATGGTGAATGAAAATGAATTTCCTATCATTTGAATGAAAATGATTGAAGGATTCCGTCATTTCGGATGAATGACTGTGAATGAAAGATTTCTCACTAATTTCATTTTTCACCCTATGCTTAATACATGGAGCGAATTAAGAAATGAAGTCCGATGAAGTGAAGTGAAATGAAATGAATTTGAACGAAAATGACTGAATGTGTGTGAAAATCTTCAGTCAGAAATTGGGATTACTGACTTTTGAATGAAAACTAAATTTTTGAACAAGTATGCGCTCCCCCCCTTTAACATTTTGTCATTTGTACCATAGGCACGATATCATTGGAGCCTTAGACCCCCCCCCCTTCCCCCTCTTGCCTTACGTAATTTATGGACGGCCCCTTGTGGACACGTATTTAAAGACAATGTCTCTTCTCCAGGCTTATCATTCGTGTTTCTCAACTGGAAGTCAAAACTACACCGGAAAAATGAAGGTTATCCAGATGTCCAGCGTTCTGAAGACCTTGAGGGGCCTGGCGGCCCTTCAGGGTCCCACGCCAGCCAAGACTCGCCAGGAGATTTTGAACAGGCTAAAAATTAAGGTGGGCAAATTTTTATGTTTTCATGCTAAAATTATTATTTTTTTACAACTTCTGTAATTTTTTTGACCACTCACCTTTTTTACAAATTATTTTCAAATTATTTACTTCATTCTAGAAATTTATACAGATCCATCACAATTTTTTGATGAATTTGTTTTAAAATTATTTTTGGCCAATTTTCTTTGCTCGCCTTTTTTACAAAATATTCCAAATTAATTCTAGAAATTTATAAAGATTCAGCACAATTTTTTTATAAATATGTTCTCCTTTTTGTTTTATGACAGGAGGCGGAGCTGAAAGCGGAGGGGAAAGAGCTCCCCCAATGGGTCAAGGCTTATCGGGACGGCGACTTCGTCCGGGCCGGGACCCTGCTTCATTTGAAGTGTGCGAAAAAGGCAAAGGAGACTGTGGAGGATCAACCAAAGGAGGAAAACATGGTACGAAATTTAGGGGCCGTCCATTAATTAACCTCCTGGCTACCAATTACACACACAATTGTGTAGTAAAACTATTTCTCTTAGGTACCAAAGTATTTTTAGAAATTTTACGTTGTCCGGAATTTTTCAACTTGATAGATTTCCATTGACTACCAGAATTTTAAAAATCCTCGATATACATAATTACCCAAATTTGTGTAATTGGTACGCAATGGGAAACGATCTCGTGTGTAATTGGTAGCCAGTGGATATAATTTTGCTACACAAATATGTATATTTGGTAGGCAAAGTAATATTTTGAAAAATATTTTATGGTAGTCAAGTGATCAAAAATCGTTACACAAATCTGTCTAATTTGTTACGCAACGGAATATTCCCGAAAATTAACTGGCAGCTAGGAGGTTAATCATGTAGTATCCCGAGTTTCTAGACCCTTTTTAATAAGTGTCACACATAATTGGAGCCCCTTACCCCATCTCGAATGTTATTTGTGGGCAAAAAATTATCCCCAATTTATAAAAATGTTTCTAATTTTTGTATTTGTTTTACAGAATTCGTCCCCCTCCTCCTCCGGCTGCTGCTGCTGCTAAATATTTAAATTGAAGGGACAAACAATTTGTTGCAAGAAAATTGTAATAAAGATATCAAATTCATTAAACTTGATTATTTTGTAGTAATTGAATCAATTTAATTTAGCATAAAAAAGTTCATAATATTCGAGAAACTTTGTAATTACGAGGAATCATGGAAATTAATTGCATTTTCTTTTTCGTCTTTTTACTGGTATAAATTCCATCCATCATTTTGTGCATGCAATCAGAAATTGAGTTATAAAATAGCTTTGCAATTTTGTCTGTTCATGAAATAAATACTTGAAATCAAAAAAGGCATGCATTGCAATAGAATAGATAAAATCGATCAAAAAGTTTTTTTCTAGGTGAAAAATTCAAATTAAATTTCAAAAAATGTACTAAATTGGGATAAAAAAATGAAAATCTGATGTTGTTTGGCATCATGCAATTAATGACATCCATCAATATGCGAAATCCAATAAAAATCCACCCCTATAAAGATTTTCATAATTTCGTAAAAAAAAATTTACATGAAAACATGCATGAATAATAAAAAAAGGAAATTTAATCCACCGACAGGAACAAGTCTATTTTAAAAACTGTAAAATTTCATAACAATTGTACATTAAATATACAATATATACAATATGTGCATTAAATTTATAGAAAAACTCTCGACAATTATTTACAGAATTTAACTTCATCTCATATTTTCTTCTAGTTTATTTATTTAAAAAGTGGGGGTTTCATTTTTAAAAAGCGATTTTACCAACGAGCAGATTTACATACGTATTTTTAGTTCAGTTTGCACACTAAAACAATTACACTCACAATGGAGGCGCAAACCATGTTCAGCCCAGATATTTTTTTGACCTTATTAGTTTGAAAGAGCAAGTCTTTACAAACAACATTTGGTTCGGCACTTGGGCAGATGCGCAAATTTCAGCACGTTATGGGCGCCACAAGTTCGCAAAAATGCACGATTTTTCGGGCAATGCCCAGCGCGAGCTCAACTTCGTGCGTTTTGCGGCGCCCATAACGTGCTGAAATTTGCGCATCTGCCCAAGTGCCGAACCAAATGTTGTTTGTAAAGACTTGCTTTTTCAAACTAATAAGGTAAAAAAAATTTTCTGGGCTGAACATGGTTTGCGCCTCCATTGTCAGTTTCTCGGGGTGAGAAAAGCAGTGGCCAAAAAAGCATACAAAATTAATATTTCTCATTTACATATTCGACTCTCTAGATTTGTTCTCATCCACGATTTTAATTGTATATTTTCATTGGACAGAAATATCTATGTAAGTCCCCCGATATTTTAAAATAACGGATTTCTCCCACCGTATGTATGAAAGCATACCTGTTCACTTTCATTCATCTGAGCGATTATGATGGTGAGTGATAGTGAATGAAAATTAATTTCCTGTGATTTCAATGAAATTAAATGATTGAAAGATTCTGTCATTTCAGATGAATTAGTGTGAATGAAGGATTTCTCACTCATTTCATTTTTCACCCTATGCACGAGAATATAAAAAAATACAGCCATATAAATAAACTAGCGTATAAGCCCATCTCCCGCCGGGCGAGAGCTTATTTGATTTCCCTGAAAATTAAGTGGATTGTTCATGATTCCACCGAATTATATTTTATTTTATCTATATAATTGGCTGGAAATGTCTTTTGGAAAGGGAAATGAAACTTTCGCTACTTTCACTTCCGTCACGGAAAATTACTTGCACTTCCGTTGCAGACAAACATTTCCAGCTTATAATATAGATTAGAAGGATTTTGCATGCATATTTCTCCCAGTAATGTACATACATCAGAAATCAAGAATTGAGCATAAACATGATGAGCTGACTACAAATGTGCCAAATTTGAGAGATTTTGCGTCCAGATTTCGTCCAGGGGTGGTCAATTTGGATCGCACAAGTAGTTTAAAACTACTTTTGGACTGGACACCGTTCAAAAGCGTTGAAAACTGGGCAAAATAATTTTGGACGTCCAAAATGTCCAAAATTGTCCAACAATGGAGAATTCTACAAGTTCTTCCTTATTAACGACTTTTTTTAAGTCTATCAACAGATATGTAATCTCACATAATTTTTGAGCATTTTGGTTAGTCTGTAATGTGATTCAATTTTGAAAAACTTTTAATTTAGCATGTTTTCTTAAGAAATTTTCTAAACCTTGCCGTGTTACAGACCAAAATTCATAGGAGATTACACACACCCACGTTATCGGATTGTTGAAAGATTCAATAATGAAGGTGCAAATTTTGCCCCATTTTCTAATTTGGACGCTTGGGCATTTTGATCGGGCCAAAATTCGGTGTCCTAGAACTGGTTAAAACCGGGTTTGGATAGTGGCAAAAAAACCACAGCGAGCGAAATATGGGGCAATAAAACTTAAATGATTGCTCAAGCTGCATATTTCCTACAAATTAAATATGCACGCGTCCTTTTGCATGAGAAAAACAGTAGCCGCAGAAGTTTGAGGGGACAGAGGGACAATGTCCCCAAGGTTGTCCACATCATCTGCCCATGCCCCTCCCTACCTTCCACCCTATAATTTTAATGTCCCCATGCACAGATCCCACGGCTTCCGCGGCCATTGGTATTACTGGAGGAAATTTGCATACAAAATCTCATGTCTCATTTACTAGATTTTTTCTCCGGCTGAAACATGATTTTATTTCGGAAACAATGTCTGATTTTCTCAAACAAACGGAATTTTTCAATGAATAGGAATTATACTGGAATTTTAGTCTGATCTTTTCGATGTGATGCTCACGATAAGAAAGCGAACGCCCAGCCATCAATTTTTGAGGCCAGCTTATCATAATAATATGCAAATCGAGATTTCCTCCAGAATCATTGAGTCGCCGTTCAGATAAGCGACCCGAAACCTGCACGATTTGCATGTGCTGCACAAACTGACCCTTCTTCTCGTCACGATGAAACATGTCGTCGTCACTGGTCCAGCCTTGCATTTATGTCGGCGCATGAAAAAATGGGAGCGAGACGCGAGCAGAGTTTTATATTACTTTACTACATAAAAATCGTCAAAAAGGTAACAAAAATCAAGTCCCGTTTGCAAATTAACAATTCAATTACACCCATTTTTACCAGAATATGTATATACCCCGTCATAAATCAGGAAAATAAAAATACATAAAGCATGGGAACCACGTGGTCAAAATGTTGTTTGGCAGGCATAGGAGGACTTTATTGTGAAGGATGATCCCTCTCGACATGTCTGCAAACGTTCGAGAACGTTTTCCCACAGTGGGGGCAGGGGTGGCGGATTTTGTCAGGAACATTCCTCACATGTCACCCTTGGTCCCGAACTTCTTGGCGCACTCGGGGCACGCGAAGTCCTTCAGCTTCCGGTGAACCGTCGTCTTGTGTCTGGTCAGAGAAGATTTTTGACTGAACGCATGGTCACACTCGTCGCAACGGAATGGTTTTGGGTTGGAAGCGTGAATGATTTGGTGCGATCTGAAGGCACCATTGCAACCGAACAGCGCCCCACATTGGACGCAGCGGAAAGGTTTCTCCTTCGTGTGGGTGACCAGGTGCACATGATAAGCGCCGTTGGAGGGGAATTTCTTCTGGCAGAAGAGGCAGACACGACTCGTCCCCTGCTTCACGAGGGCGACCTTTTCGTCCTCGGAGAGATGGGTGAATCCATGGTTGGTCAGGGCTTGCTTGGAGGAGAACGTTTTTCGACAAGTGGGACACCTCCAGCGCACTTTTTCCTTGGTGTAGTTCCTCAGATGGCGATTGAGTTGGGATGGAATTCGGAATCTTTTGGTGCAGAAGTAGCAGCCGTATCGCACCTCCGCGTGCTCCTCGCGGCTCATGTGGAGGAAGAGATGACAGGTCAAGTCTGTTATCCGGGTGAACTTCCTCTTGCAGGTGGGGCTTGCGACCTTCGTGCGCAGCCACGTGGTCGATAAAGTGGTGACGAATGAAGAACGATTTTCTTCGGCAGTGGGGACATTTTTCATGGAAAAGTGAGGACTTCTCCAGCTCGTGGGGGTTGAGGTGGGTGCGGGCGTGGAAGTGAGCACTGGTTGCGTTGGTGAAGGGACGACGGCAGATTTTGCACGGGAAGATTTTCTTGGGGCAATTTCCAGGTTTTTAATGACCTGCTGGTGGTTGAAGGAGAGGACACGTGGTTGTCGTCACGTGGAGTTGGCCGTGATTGGACGGAGTGAGGAGGAAGTCGCCCGTTTTGTTGAAAACGGACTCCTTTCTCCGTTATGTGGACGGACGTTTTCCGTCCTCCCAGCAATTTCCGGTTGACCTCCATTCTGCCCGAAGGGAACGTATCGTTCTGCTCGGAATGTTCTCCCGTTTGCAAAAATCGATCCTTGCACAGAATATTATTACGTCAGGATTCCGAGTAGAAGGACATATTTTAGATGAAAGTTCGAAATGAAATCTTACCAAGCGCTGGTTTCTTAATTTTTGGCCTAACGCGTGTGTATGGACTTTCCGTGCTTTTCAGGTTGCTCTTCAGATGCGCCTTTTTGTAGGAGTGGAAATGTGCAAAATTGGTGAAATTTCTGGAGCAGGGGACTGAGCTCTTGTTTGAAGGAGAGTTTGTTGATCTGTGTCTCCCTCGGAGTGAGAGATGGCTTCGCTTATCTGCATATTTTCCATGCACCAACCAAGAGCCAAGTCTCGTATAGGCAGACCTACCAAAAAAGCGACAAAATGCAGAATTAAATATGTCTATGCAGAGAATTAAACAAGAAAATAGTCGTGAGCCCTCAATATTTTGCATGCATGCATATTTCTTCCAGTAATAGTGACTTGTAAGAAGTGAAAAATCCACTTTAAGGATGGCAAGCTGATAACAAATGTGTCAAATTTGCGACAATTTTGCATCCATATTTTACCCAGGAGTGTTCAATTTACATCGCATCGTAACTCAATGCTTGATCAAGGGGGTCATTTCCATTAAATTAAATATGCATGGGTCACGTGTCAGTCACGTGGTATGAGAAAAGTTAAGAAATTGAGACTCGATCGTGTGCAAAATTTATTTTCTTCGCACATATTGCATTTCAATGCTTATTCATTTTGATGAACCAAAAATATATGTAACAGTAGCAGAAGAACGGAATTCGGATTCGTAACCAAATTTGCGAGATGGTGGAGGGACGCATGCACGCAGATTTCTTCGCAATTTGCATTAAATAATAATTAGCGAATGGTCAATAAGCATCACTCCCACCTGTTTGAGTCAGGATTTTCTTGCTAAATTCTCCACACAGAAAGAATTCTGCACTTTTTGGTACGTCTAACTATTCGAGACTTGGCTCTTGGTTGGTGCGATATGCAGATAAGCAAAGTTATCTCAAGGGAGACAGAGACCAACACGCTTCCCGGAAAACGACGGCTGACTTCCTTTCTCTAGAAATTTCTAAAAGTTTCTAAAAGAAAGTTCGAAAATTAAATTTTTGAACAGGTATGGTCACTGGTCAAGCGTTTGTATATTTGTGTCGCCACATGGAAAAATGGGGGCGAGACGCGAGCCGAGCTTTATACAGAACAAAATTACTGTAAAAAATCGTATTTTGGTCAAAACGGTAACAAAAACGACATGTTTACAATGTAATACTTCAATCATGTCATTTTTATCACTCGTACTATTTATTCGAAAATATTTATAAGAAATCAAGCATACATGGAAAGGTTAGGTTAGTTATGGTGTCTGCATTTCTGAACTTGTCACTTGTTGCGTCTCAACTTTCTCTTTTTCCCTATTCAACTTGGCGTTTTATCCTTCCATCCAGCGACGATATGTTGGAGACAGAGTGAGATTTTGAGAGTGAGATTTTGAGGCAGAGTGAGATTTTGAGAGTGAAATTTTGAGAGTGAGTGAGATTTTGAGAGTGAGATTTTGAGGCAGAGTGAGATTTTGAGAGAGAGATTTTGAGAGTGAGTGAGATTTTGAGAGTGAGATTTTGAGGCAGAGTGAGATTTTGAGAGAGAGATTTTGAGAGTGAGTGAGATTTTGAGAGTGAGATTTTGAGGCAGAGTGAGATTTTGAGAGAGAGATTTTGAGAGTGAGTGAGATTTTGAGGCAGAGTGAGAATTTGAGGCAGAGTGAGATTTTGAGAGTGAGATTTTGAGGCAGTGAGATTTTGAGAGTAAGTGAGATTTTTGTGCAGAAATCTGCTGCAGCTAGCCGGCCACCACTGCACTGTTCCTATTGACCAGCATCTTTTCTCGGGGTGGTGGTGTCTCACTCTCGCCCGAAAACATGGACAGGACGAGCAAGTGAAGAGAGCTACCCAGCAGATTTCCAAGTTTTTTTTTCCTATTTCCAATCAAAATTTGAGCTCGTTTCTTCATCCCACCCTGGGTTTTTTCATTTTCAAGGCGGCGTTACACCCACAAAAGGTCAAAATCCACGTCGAACAGAGTCAAAGTCAGTCAAAAATACAGGTTTTGTGAAGAAAACAACTTTTTTGTGTGGAAAAACACATTGTTTTCACAATTTTTCAAAAATACAGTGCCCCAGTTCATTAAAAACTCGTAAAAAAAACTGCCTTTTATCCCATCATTTTACAAAGTTTAACAAAATAAGAAGACATCCTTGATCTGAATAAACTATAAGTAAGAATTTGTAAGTCTACACAATTCACTAATTTTTCAATGTTTTACCCGCCTGAATTGCCTTTTAACATATTTTTCACCTCTAAAAAAGTGAATTTCTTCCAAAAACCTGTCAAAATAAATACAATATTTTAATATCCATTCTTCCCACTGAAATTTAAATTTCCTATGCTGTCACACCCACAAAAAAAACGAAAATCTACCCCGAAAACCCAACAGCCACACAAAAACACATGATTTCTTCAGAACTCAACTTTCTATCTTTGCCAAACTAAATTGTTTTCACGATTGTTAAAAAAATGCAGTATTTCTCACTTTCCTTGTTAGAAAACCTGCATTTTCGTACAAACAACTTCCACCTTCTCCTCCGTGCAGATTTTCGCCTCTAACTCCTCCCACTTAATTTATTCATGATAAACACTAACAAATAAATAATATTTAATAATTAACTAAATACCGTAAAAACTCAAATAGTAGCCGGGGGCTACTATTTAAAAAATCGGTGGCTGGGACCCGGCTACTATTTGAGCAAGGCTACTATTTGGGCAAGGTCACTATTTATAAAATTATGAAAAGATGCACGGCTACTATTAGCATACAGCTATTGTAATTTTGTTTCCAGAATCAAACTCGAATTAAATTTTAATAACAGCAACAAATTCTCCTTTAGATTCGTATTAGATGACAATTTTATAGGTTATGCCTGCTCTTAATCTTAATAATTTCTCGGATGAGCCGAATTTCATGTTCAATTCGATTTTGTATAACTGAGATTAAATTGAATTATGATTTAATTACTTAAATTAGCTGGCTAGGAGATGTCTGGTTATATGTATGTACATTGGAAATTGACGAACGTCTATGATTCGAATGAGGCTACTATTTGAGCACGGCTATTATTTAGGCACGGCTACTATTTGAGCAAGGTCACTATTTATAAAATTATGGAAAAAGGCACGGCTACTATTTGAGCAAGGGCTACTATTTGAGTTTTTACGGTAATTACGTTAAACTTTAATTATTTACTTGCAGACCCATGGCGTCCTCCAACTCCAAGTCGTCACCTCAACCTGCCCAAAATAAGGGGACCACAACCCGGCCCCCAAACGGGGTCAAAGTCTTCCTCGACACAATGCGGCTCGCCGACCACGACGCCATTAAAAAGGAATGTGAGGCCATCCTTATCCGGAAGATAAGCCCGGAAAACGCGGTGTACCTGGCCCAAAACGCCCCCTCCGTCAATGCATTGGTATGATTTCCACGTCACCTTACCTTATCAAGGACCGATAACTTACCTCTGTATGATAAGTCTAATTCAGTATTATCATCCTTTCAGGCCTTGGAGGAGAAGGCAATCAATTACATTTTGGACAACGACGTCCTCGATAAGAGAATGACGGCGACTGAAATGTCCAATTTTTTAGGATTGGATCTCTTCGAAAGGTTGGGGATTGCTGTAATTTCACGAATGATGCTGCAGAACATGAGGCAGCGGATGAAAATGAGAGGGGGGAAAGGGTTCCAATGATATGTGATCCATTGTTTTAAAATGTTGTCTAAAAATTTCCTATTTTTACGTATTATACATAGTTTATCCAGGTCTAATGAAATTTTACTTAATTTTCACATCATCCATGCAACTTTAAATTCAGTAGAACCTCAATTAATAAAAATATCTAATTGATCATCATCAAGCAGTAAAAGTTTAATTAATAAATACCGGATTCTTTTTTTAAATGTTTAATCAATCCTGGTTGATTTATTTGTTCATTCATAAGTTCATTTCAAAATTTCCGATCCTTAAGACATATTTTGATTTAGAAATTACAGGAATTGGTTAAATTCAAGATACTCATAATATGCAATAAAAGTTTAACTAAGGGATTAAATTTTTAAAAAATGTTACATAATTCTCAATTCGAACATTTTAAACTTTATGAACTGCTTGAGGGCGACCTCCTCCTCCTCCTCGGCGCCACATACCTGTTCACAGTCATTCATCTGACTAATTATGATAGTGAATGAAAATGAATTTCCCCTCATTCGAATGAAAATGAGTGAAAGATTTAGTCATTTCAGGTGAATGAAAGATTTGTCACTCATTATTTCATTTTCACCGTATGTATGCATGCATGCTTAATTAATACATAGGGCGAGTAAGAAAGATGAAGTCAGATGAAGTGAAATGAAATGAATTTGAACGAAAAAATGACTGAATGTGAATGAAAATCTTCTAATGAAAACTGTTAATCAGAAATCGACGAAATCGTGATGACTGACTTTGAATGAAAACTAAATTTTTGAAAAGGTATGCGTCGCCATCGATCGTCGTCGTCCCCCGACTTGTACTGAATCATGAAGTACATCTTTATATTACGACTGTAAATAATGGTATAAAAAACACTCTAATTTTCTAATCTTGATTAAAAACTAGACAATTGTTTTATCCATTGTTTTAAAAAAATGCTAACAATTACCAGAGGTCTTAGGTATAAAAAAATCTGTGTGTCTCTAATAATTACGAAAAAATGCCAAAATACTTATAAAAAAAAAAGTGAATTTCTTTCCGGCCCAATTTCTTTTAGTAACAAAAATCGTTGCAATATTTAGAAAATATTTATTATATACCTAAGTATTTTGGAAAAAATATCGAAAAGATTTACATATTTTTCAAATCATGGTGGAAATATTGTTAGGCGCCGTCCATAAATTACGTAACGCTTGCTAGCATGGGCAAGATAGGATTTTTTCCCTATCCTGCTCATGTCAGCCAGCGTTACGTAATTTATGGACGGCGCCTTATGTCTGAAAACCTAGAAATATGTAAAATCATTTCGAAAAAACATATCTGACCTCCGTTAATTAATTAGTGAATTAACTACATCAGATTTTGCATATTACTCCTTAACAAATTCAAAACATGGCAAAAATTTGTCACGTCTGACAAGGGAACATACCGAGGTGTCCAACGAGTTAAGGGTCGACACCTATACCAAAATGACCACAATACATGACTTATTAAACAAACTGAAGGAATTTCCGTGTAAAATTCACTTTTCGTCAAGTTGTGACGATATTTGTGACGAGCGCATGACCATCGGGTTGCCAGCGGGAGATGTCGGCCGCTGAACGATCAGGTCGAAGAGAAGCGTCGTCGTCTTCAGAGATTTCAAATTCTTTCAAATTTTGAAAACATCTTGAAATTTTGAAAAAAATTTGAGACAATTTTGAAAAAATTTTGAGAAAATTTTGAAATTTTGAGAAAATTTTGAAAATTTGAGAAAATTTTGAAATTTTGAGAAAATTTTGAAATTTTGAAGAAATTTCAATTTTTTTCAAAATTTCAAGTGGTTTTCAAAATTTCAAATGGTTTTCAAAATTTGATACAAATTTGAAATCTCTAAAGACGACGTGAAGACGACGACGCTTCTGTGTGTTCGACCTGATCGTTCAGCGGCCGAGCTCTCCCGCTGGCAACCCGATGGTCATGCGCTCGTCACAAATATCGTCACAACTTGACGAAAAGTGAATTTTACACGGAAATTCCTTCAGTTTGTTTAATAAGTCATGTATTGTGGTCATTTTGGTATAGGTGTCGACCCTTAACTCGTTGGACACCTCGGTATGTTTCCTTGTGAGGAGGACAACCCTTCACCGACAGAATCACCGATCTTGATGCCCTTTGGATATGTTGTAGTCCTAGGTGAGTCTAGCAAAAGTGAAGAAGGATTTCATTCAATGGCCCCATTTGCGCCCGCCACACCCACTCAAAGGTGCGAAAAACACGAAAAATACCCTGTTTTCGTTCATTCTAAACATCACCAAAAATCCAATTTTGATCGGATTTTCATAATTTAAGCATTTTTGTGATCTTAGATAGTTGCTTTATCATATCCAACAGCAAACTCAATTTTTTTAATTTTTTGAGTATTTTCGAAAATTTCCTGACCAGGGGTATGCCTTCGAAAAAATCAAAATTTCAAAAAAATTGAGTTTGCTATTGGATATGATAAAGCAACTATCTAGGATCACAAAAACGCTTAAATTATGAAAATCCGATCAAAATTGGATTTTTGGTGATGTTTAGAATGAACGAAAACAGGGTATTTTTCGTGTTTTTCGCACCTTTGAGTGGGTGTGGCGGGCGCAAATGGGGCCATTGAATGAAATCCTTCTTCACTTTTGCTAGACTCACCTAGGACTACAACATATCCAAAGGGCATCAAGATCGGTGATTCTGTCGGTGAAGGGTTGTCCTCCTGAGTGAAATATGAAACCTGACGGTGTCTCGACTCTCATGAAGCTGCTCCAGTTTTATGCACATCCATCCACCCAGCTCGAGATAAGTATGTACTTTCATGAAATTCTTCTCATGAACCAAGTCAACACAAAGCGTGTATAAAAAAACGGTAATAAATAACTCATGACACAGGTTTGCTACACTGGGAGGCAAGAAATGCATAGTGCAAAAAAAAGTGCAAAAATAAGCGCCATCATTTCTTGCGCCTTGCATTTTTCCCAGCTCAAAATATTTCCCTGCAAGAAAACACTTTCTGTTTCCCCCTGTATATATTTCTCAATTTTCTGCCAAAAACCTTTACGTATGTAGAGAAAATTATAGTCATACCTGTTCACTTTCATTCATTTGACGGATTATGATGGCGAATGAAAATGAATGAAAATGAACTTACTGTGATTTGAATGAAAATTCCTGAAGGATTCCGTCATTTCAGATGAATGAATGTGAGTGAAAGGATTTTTCACTCATTCCATTTTTCACCCTATTTATAATACATGGAGCGAAGTAAGAAATGAAGTGTAATGATGTGAAATGAAATGAATTTGAACCACGAAAATGACTGAATGTGAATGAAAATCTTCACTCAGAAATCGGGATGACAGAGCTTAGAATGAAAACTAAATTTTTTTGAACAGGTACATATGATTGTAGTGCAGAAATAAGATGTCCCTTAACTTCCGCGGCCACTGGTTCTTTCCTTCAACTTATGGTGCATACTGCTGGATACGATATGTCGTTACTTCCATAATCGTGTCCAGATTGTTAAGTGTGTCCTCTTCACATCTTAACGTTTCTGGTTACTGAGTATGTAGTAATTTAAAAAATGCTTACTCTGCTTTATCAAAGTTCATGACAAATTTACTACGAATGAAACTTTTGTAGCGAGCACTCAACTGAAAAAGTCGTCTCCTTCCCATGAGGAAAGATTTGAATGTGGCAGCTAAAATTACTTAAAAATACAATAACAGCGTGAAAGAGAGAAATCACAGTGAATTCTCTAAGAATTATTTACGAATTCGAGATTCAAGGCGAACAGTTTATAGTCTCCTATTCCTGTAAGAAGAATTCCTATCGAAATCGGGGAGAATTCCTCACTACAATAACAGCGAAATTCGTTTAAGAATTCATAGTGAAGTCGTTTCGAATTCGATAGAATAATTCTCTGAGAATTCGAGTCTAATTCATTACGAATTCTGAAATGAGCGTAATATCGAATTTAGATACGAATAATTACCGAATTCGATGCGAATTCGATACGAGAATAATAACGAAATCTGAGAGAATTCGAGTTCTCTGTTTTAACGCGACATTCTCTGCGAATTCTCTAAGCGAATTCATAGCGACCTGTTATCTGGGAATCGGGGACCGGTTTCTGAAAATTTTCCAAAATAAAATTCATGGAAAATAGGTTTTGCCAAAATTGGAAAAACGGTTTTTCAAAATCTTCCGAGTTTAGACGCTCTAGTCTTACAATGCAAGTCTTTTACATGTACAACTCAGATCTGGTTGGGACCAATTTTATTTTGTTCACCACAAAAAAATAAGCATACCCGTAGTTTTTCATTTTTCATAATGCGCTAATTTGAGCGCGAATTTTAAAACAGTTTTCAGCCAAAACCTCGGTTTTTAAAAATTCTGTGAATTTTCGAATTTCAGCCCAAATCCAAAAATTCGAGAACATGTATCTTCACAATGACTTACTTGACTTATGAAAAATCCAAACGCATTATTTTTTGAAAAATTAAAAATTTGAAGGAGTTTATAATTTTAATGAATTTCAAAAACTGGCAAAAAATTTTGAAAATCAAATTTTGAGACAATTGGGTTTTTCATAAGTCAGGTAAGTCATTCTGAAGAGACATGTTTTCGAATTTTTGGATTCGGGCTGAAATTCGAAAATTTACAGAATTTTTAAAAACCGAGGTTTTGCCTGAAAAATGTTTTAAAATTCGCGTCCCGCGCTCAAATTAGCGCATTATAAAAAGTGAAAAAATACGGGTATGCTTATTTTTTGTGGTGAACAAAATAAAATTGGTCCCAACCAGGTCTGAGGAGGGGAGCTTCACCACCTGCCCCTCTCAGATCTTGATGTGCTTCGGATATGTGGTAGGATGAGTGTACTAAAACCCTGAAGTGGTTTGACTCCATGGCCACAGTTACGCCCGCCACACCCACTCAAAGGCGCCAAAAACACGAAAAATGCCCTGTTTTCACTTGTTTAAACCCTCGCCAAAAATCCAATTTTGCTCGGATTTTGGCAAAATTTACATTTTTGTAATCCCAGATACTTGCTTGATCATATCCAGTAGCAATCTCAACTTTTTTGAAATTTTGAATTTTTTCGAATAATTCATTAGCCCGAAAATGCCCGAAAATTTCAAAAAAGTTGAGATTGCTACTGGATATGATCAAACAAG